CCTCATGAAGAGGGGGTTGGATGTTTTCCAGTGACCAGAGGTCACAATCCCTCAGCACTGTAGCACTCCAAGCCATGGATGTGTAGGAGATTCCACTGCCCTGTTCAGCTGGAACTATACCAACCAAGAGAACACAATCCAGGTCCCCCGTCCATGTTTGATAGGACAAACATTGCCCACTTGGTGTGATTGTCCTGTTGCCTGTCTCCTGAGCCACCAATGTGTTTAGCCTTTGTGTCAGTGTGACGGGCCTCTCATTTCTTCTCAATGATTCTGTTGTCATTAAGGCACATTTCAACCACCTTTATTTCCAGATTGATAGGGGCATACACTGGCTCAGAGTACATTACACAGCACAGCTCTCTGTCTTGTCTCTCTTTCTCTCAGTCAGCCCATGGTACATGGTGAATGCGTCCTAACGTCACAGGCTCTGCCTGTCGAAACTGTTCCTTCCCACAAGGTGTTTCCTTGCAGTGTCAATCCGAAACCGCAGTTGCTGTCAGTCCAAGCTTGCGCACCGATCTCTCTGTGGCACCGTTTGTCCTGTGTCCTGGCCACCACACCAGCCTTTCTGCGGGTTCTGGCCTCTCTCCTTCCAGCTGCCTGAACTCCACTGCACCATCTCAACTCCGGCCACAGAGACCCCTGGGAGGGGGTGAAGTGCTGCCCACTGTTTGGATCATTCCCCTCTGACGGGGAACCCTTTCCCTTGGGAGGCTCCATCAGCTCGCGTCCCAGTTCGGAGTCAACGTTGGAATGTCCCATGGCAGGTTTGGACAGGGATCGGGAAGGGGTTATCTCATGGTTCATCCTGAGGTCTCTTTGCTCAGACTGGGAATAACAGGTCAATGGCCATCTCAACGTTCAGTGCTATAACGTCGGAGGAAGGGAGAGCTCTCTGTCAGACAGACTCTACAGCTGTTGGATTGTTACACCAACCAAACTGGTTCATTCATGTAGCATCCAGCTTAGCCTCACACCCAGGAAAGGATGGGACTGGACTGACCCTGTGTCTGAGTGGCTCAGCAAATGCCTACAGCTCCAAGACTGAGCTGCCTTGTCAGCAATGAGCAATGCTGGAGGGTTTCAGCAATTCAGTCCCAACCAGCCTCACCAGAGCTCACACTGCTCACTCACAGAGTCACACAGCCCAGAAACAGACCCTTCGGTCCAACCAGTCCTTGCTGACCGTGTTCCCAACCTAAACTAGTCCCAGCGCTTGGTCCATATCCCTCCAAACCTTCCCCAATCATGTAAACTGAACCCACATCCACCACTTCCTCTGGAAGTTCATTCCACACGTGAACCCTCTCTGTGTAAAAAAGAAATCACCCCCTTTTTTTTTTAAATCTTTCTCGCAAGTCTTGAAATTACCCAATCTAGGGAAAAGACCTCAGCCAATCCCCTTATCCATACCCCTCATGATTCTATGAACCACGAAAAGGTCACTCCTCAACCTCCAATGCTCCAGTGAAAGAAGTCCCAGCCTCAAAACCTCCATTCCCGGCAACGTCCTGGTAAATCTCTTCTGAGCCCTCTCCAGCTTAAGAACATGCGTCCTAGAATAGGGCAACCAGGACTCAAATCACCTGCTCTCGTGCGACCAACCCAAGCCCCAGGCTTTGCCATGCAGAGCCGGAGGTTACAAAACGGAGACAGGCTGATCTCAGTGAAACAGAACAGACTTCCCTGGGTGCGTTTAGCATGGATGTTTCCCTCTTTGTGGGAGACACTAGAATGAGGGGACATGGTTTAAACATAAAGGGGCGGTTTTTCAGGGCTGAGAGGAGGAGCTTTCTCTCCCCATCCCTCTCTGAGAGCCTTCAGGCTGTGGCATTCCCTCCCCCAGTGAGCAGCAGAGACAAGGTCACAGAATCCCCATGTTCCCGTCTGCCCTGCTATCCTTGCTAAAAAATAAACACCCCTCCCTTTTCGATTGTCTCTTCGAAGGCTTCTGTGCATTATCTTGTCCAGCTGAGCTCTCAATCTCCTCCGCCTTCAGTCTGTGCCATGGGTCTCTGCTCATCCAAACGGACAGCACAGAGTGGACATGGTGAGGGGGGGCAAGGAGAGGTGAAGATAGTAGGGCAATCAGACAGGGGGGAAACCCGACAATGTACAGACACGGCCACTAGATGGTGCTCCCGTGACACAAATTACCAACTTCAGCGACTCTGACTGTTCTGAAAGTTGCCCACATTCCTCTGGATAATATGGGTGTGTGGTAGCATCGTAGGACGGTGCCGAGGGCGATTTCCCAGGATTTTGCCTGGGCTGGAGAGTCTCTGTGATTGGACAGACTGGGGTTGTTTTCCTGGGAGCAGAGGAGATTGAGAGGGGACATGATTGAGATGGATTAAATTGTGAGAGGCAGAGTTGGGGTACACAGGAAGGAACGTTTTCCCCTTGACGGAGGGATCAATGACCTGGGGGGGGGGAGGGGGGGAGCGGTGGTGAGGCATAGATTGAAGGCAAAGGGCCGGGGGTTTAGAGGAGGATGTGAGGGAAAACGTTTTCACGCAGAGGGTGTTGGGAATCTGGAACTCACTGTCAGGGTGGGACAGGCAGAAACCCCTCCGCACACTGAAGATGGAGTTAGATGTGCAGACAAGGCTATGGGCCAAGTGCTGGAAAAGGGAATTAGAGTTGTTAGGGGTTGTTTTGGACCAGCATAGACTCAATGGGCCGAAGGGTCTCTTTTCCTGAGGAGGAGACATTTCAGACTCTCATAAAAACCAACTTTCCTTTTAGTTAAGGGGCAGATTGAACACAGGTACCGTCTCTACCATAAGACCATCTGGAGTAGGCCATGTGGCCCCTCAAACCTGCTCCATCATTTCACAGGATCGTGGCTGATTTGACATTCCTCACATCCATTTCCTGCCTTTGCCCTGTAACCCTTGATTTCCTCAACAGATCAAGAATCTATCTCGGCCTTAAATATACACAGGGACTCTGCCCCCATAGCTCCCTGGGCAACGAGTTCCAGAGACTCTCAACCCTCTAGAGAAGAAATTCTTTCTAATCTCAGTCTTAAATTGGTGCCCTTTATTCTGAGATTGTGCCCTCTGGCCCTAAACTCTCCCATGAGGGGAAACATCCTCTCAGCAGTTACCCTGTCAAGCCCCTTTAGAATCCTCTGTGTTTCAATAAGATCACCTAAACTCCAGTGAGGAGAGGCCCAACCTGTTTAGCCTTTGTTCATAAGACAATCCCGTCAGACCAGGGATCACCTGAGTGAACCTTCGCTGAACAGCCTCCAATGAAATGATTCCTTTTCTCTCAAAGGGGACCAAAACCGCTCACAATACTCCAGATGTGGGCTGACCAGCACCTTGCACAGCTGCAGTAAGACTTCCCTACTCTTCTACTCCAACCAGTGAAATAAGGGCCAACGTTCCATTAGACTCCCCGATTCCTTGCTGCTCCTGTCTGCTCGCTTTCTGTGTTTCATGTACAAATCAGCCCCCAAGTCCCTTTATGCTGCAGCTTTCTGCAGTTTTCCTCCATTTAAATAATGTTTTGTTCCTCCAAAACTAACAACTTGACATTTTCCCGCATTACACTCCATTTGCCAGCTTACAACCTGTCAATAACTCTCAGTAAAACTCTCTGTACTGGACCCCTCTCAGACCCTGCCTTTTCATCCATTTTTTTTGTGTCATCTGCAAACGTACTACCTTAAAAGTCATGAATATATACTGTAAACAATTGCGGTCCCTGCACAGAATCCTTGCAAAACCCCAGCGTTCACCAACCTGAAAATAAAAAACCCCTATCCTCGCTCGCTGTTTCCCACCACACGAGCCTGTTCTTTATCCACACCTCCTACACCTTGCTGGATGTCTGTGTCCTGGTTCTGAGGGCCAGCAGGGACGTGAAGGGCCCAGCAGCCTGCTTTTGGATGGTGACCATTGCGGGAAATGGGAGGGAAGCCAGAGCGGTCGGACTCTGGGATTGCACCTTAGCTACGCCAAGAGAAGGACGGAGAGGGAGGACAGACAGAAGGACACGGACAGGGCTGGGATTGATCCAGTCTCCACCCAGGGGGCTGCTCACTGTCAGGGAACTGCAGCCAGCGAGGCCCTGGATCCAGGGAACGGACAGTGGGCCCAGACGGTGGGGGGGGGATGGGGGGGAGATCTCAGTGGGCCCCCTCTCCTCCCATCCCCGTCCCAGCCCCTGGGAATGGCCCTGAGGACAGAGCCGAGATGGAGGCTCTCAGCAAGGGGAGCTGTGCATGGAGAACAGTGAGATCCCAACAGTCAGGAGCACACAGTGCAAGTGTCACCAGTGATCCCAACCCAGAATTCCAAACCTGATCCGGATAGCGGTGGGAACGGAGAAGATGCCTGGCGCAGGGAGTGCTGCAGATGACGATTGACTCGGGAGCTGGAGGAACGCTGGGAGGAGGCAGTTCCTGAATACAGGCTGTACCCCAAGGACACACGGTGAGCCGGAGATGGCGGGGCAAGAGAGTGAAATGGGAGAAAACTCCAGGATGGCAAACTCAAACAAAAACAAACTCTGGATTGAAGCATCGCCTGATGACCATGACACCAGGTAACGTTCTGGGGACCCGGGTTCGAATCCCGCCATGGCAGATGGTGGAATTTGAATTCAATAAAATATCTCGAATTAAGAATCTAATGATGAGCATGAATCCATTGTTGGTTGTTGGGGAAAAACCCATCTGGTTCACTGATGCCCCTTAGGGAAGGAAACTGCCATCCTTACCTGGTCTGGCCTACATGTGACTCCAGACCCACAGCAATGTGGTTGATGGGGGCGATTAGGGATGGGCAATAAATGATGAGTGAGACAATGATGCCCCCATCAAAGGGACGGAATGGACAAAGTGTGGGAAGGGGTGGGATGATGAGGGGCAGGGATGGGGTGGGTGGCGAGGTTCGGGGGGGGGGGGGGGTGGCAAGATTTGGGGGGGGGGGTGGGGGGGGAGGGGGGGTGGGGGGGGGAGTGGGTGGCGAGGTTTGGTGGGGAGGTGGGGTGTCATCGTACTGGACTGTGTGCCCTGAATCCCCATGTTGGCTGTGCCAGGGGCAGCGTGTCCAGTAACGACAGGCCGTGGGTGGAACAGACGCTGGCGCGAATCCTCCCGGACCCCTCCCCAGGACCCCTGGAGGGGAGGGGAGGGGAGATCCTGTTCAGAGCTCCAGCCTGTGAGAGCCTTGTGCCGTGCTACGGTCTCCCCTCACTGAACCTTCGTACCAGCGGCGATGTGCCAACTGGGCAGCGTTCTTGGCCCAGATGACGGCCAACTCCACGGTTCCCGTTGCCCCCCCCGAGGAGCTGAGGTGGTAAACGTGGCGGTGGACAGCGAAGGGAGGGTGCTGTTGCCTGGAGAGGGGGTACGGGGCCTGGGCGGGCCAGGAGGCCTGGCGGAAGGCATGGCCGGTGGGGAAGAGCCGGCTCAGGGCCTCCTGGGTCAGAGGCTTGGACGATAGCACCTTCCAGGGCCGGGCACAAGGCTGGGGCCGGGGATGGGGCACGGAACTGGCAGACACTGGTATCACGGCAGCCAGGATAGAGGAATGGGAGCGGGAGGTGGTGAGAATACATGGGGCGCGGCGAGGGTCAGGGGCACGGTGCCCAAAGGACGAGGTGTTCAAGCAGCTGTCAACCAGAGTGACCACCCTGGGCTGGTGCTGGGCAGGAGGTGATCCCCTCCCAGAGATTACCATGGGCAGCTCTGCCGCAGTGACCACCACAATGTCATACAGACCATAACCATCTCCCAAAGTGTCCTCGTAGCTCACTTCGTACAGCACCAGCTCCTCACCTGCAAACACAGGTCAGTGTCTCAGCACACACACACGATGCCAGGCCATTCAATCCCAACAACCTACTCCTACCGCCATTCAACAGGAACAGCAGCACAAATACCAGGCCATAGGGAACACAGTGCTGTCAACAACACAGTCTCCCCATGGACTCGGGAACACAGGGCGAAGCGAGTGGGAACACAGGTGGGAAGGGAGGGGG